GGCAGAGCAGGTCAGGGTTGGGGACAGCCAGGAACCCCCTGCCGGTGCTCACCGGCACCACTTCGGGCCCCCCGGGTGTTCCCCAGCCCCGGTGATGCTGCACCAGGTCCCCACATCCCGCAGGGCAAAGGCGTGTCGGGGCCCCAGGGCGCCGTGGGGCTGCCGGGCACTCACAGGGGTAGGGGACGCGGAACCAGGGTGCCACGGACAGGATCTCCCCGCGGGCATCCGTCCTGGCCTTGTAGCCGTACTCCTCGGGCTGGCTGGGGAAGACTCCGGTGCGGGTCAGCACGTAGCAGATCAGCCACACCAGCATGATGGCCAGGATGATCTGCGGGGCACACACCGGGACCCTCCCGCACCACTCCCGAGCCCGCGTGGGGGTAAAGGGGGGAATGTGGGGCCGCCCCAGGATGCTCTCAGCCAGTCCCTACCGGGAACATCTTGAAGATCTGGATGCGGAGCAGGACAAAGCCGTGGCCGCGCCGGTAGCCGGGCAGGCAGATGGCGACCTGCCGCAGGTACTGGGCAAACAGGACAATCAGGAAGATGGTCCTGGGGGGAAAGACAGATGGGATCCTCTGATGCCTCAGGTTTTAGCTTTTATATTTTTCTGGTTCTGTTCTGCTTTAGTGTGTGGGTCTGAGCTTCATATTAGGGGAAGGTGAGCTCTCTTCACAGAGCAGGGAGACAAAACAATTCCTTCTCTAGCTGGGAACCAAGGACAAAGATGAAAATCTCAGGCCCAAGAGCAGAAACAACACGGGCTGAAGAGAGGAAAACAAGAAGGATGGCACTTCATAACCTGAAGCTATAATTAGACAACAGGAGCATAACTGATAAAAAAAAAGTGAGAGACCAGTCATCCATTTTGTGCCCATTTTGGTTCACCTGGGGTGCAGCCCTGGCTGGGCTCTTGTGCTGCCCAAGGTGGATCCATGGGGACCTCCTAATAAATCCCTACTTTATTGTTTAACTCTGTCCAGCCTCTGTTCTAGGTCAGCCTTCACAAGGTATCACCTCATGCCCTGACAACCTCCTGGCTCTGTGCTGGACAACCCTGCCCTCCTGTCCCGGTGTCCCCTGTGTCCCCATGCCATACAGCACAGAGATGCCCCAGTGGGAGCCAGCCCGGTCACCAGCCGCCTGGAAAACGGAGAGTCCGATGAGGGACACGGTGGGGGTGACGGTCAGAGGCCCGATGTAGCTGAGCAGTGCCCCGGGGAGCCCCAGCAGCCCGATGACCACTTCTACCAGGCTGGACACTATGATGGCCCCCTGGATCTGCAGGGCATGGAGAGGTGCAGGAGAGGGCGTCAGCATCCTGCCAGGGAGTCAGGGTGCCGCAGGGTGGTGGCAGGATGGTGGCAGGATGGTGACAGGATGGTGGCAGGATGGTGGCAGGGTGGTGGCAGGGTGGTGGCAGGGTGTACCTCTCGCATGCGGGGCTGCCAGATGTGGGATGTGTTGAGCGGCAGTGACCAGTTGCCGTAGATCTGCTCTGGGGATGAAGGGTGGTGAGGTGGTCCCAGGGGTCGGGGAGCAGCCAGACACCCCCTGCACCCCCCTGCCCTCACCTTCAGATGGGCATCGCCACTTCTCCAGGGCCAGGATGGACTTGGCGGGGACGAGGAAGGCCAGCGCGCTTGCCTGGAAGAGCGGCAGCCTGCGGGGACAGAGGGATCCTGCGCCCAGGCCCGGGGCTGGGCAGGGGGGCCCGCGGGGCCATGGCTCTACCTGATGCCCACGGTGGTCTGGATGAGGGTGGTGATGCCCACGCAGGTGAAGATGGTGCCGATGAGGTAGCTGACGGTGAGCTGGTCCTTGCCCACGCACAGGCTCTCGGCCAGCAGGAAGGGGACAGCGATGGTGCCACTGAAGCAGGTCAGGTAGTGCTGGGGGGCGAGGGGGGGCTCAGCAGGGCTGGGGGTGCCCCACACCACGGGGAACGGGGATTTGGGGTCTGACACTTTCCAGGCTGTACCTGGAAGCCGAGCAGGATGCAGAGGTACCAGGGGGGCACGTCCTCGATCTTGTAGAGCATGTCCACCTCCGGCCGGGGGGGCCTGGTGCCCGCCCCGGGGTCCTGCTGTGGGGGCACAGCTCAGCCCATCTCACCCTGGGGCTTCTTGCAGGGACGGGCACCGCACCCTTCCCCATGGGAGCCCCTGTGCCCGCAGGGATGGGAGGGGTCCTGGCTGGCCGGTCTCCATCTGCAGGTGTGTCCCAGATGAATTTGGGGTGTGGTGCTGCCCACGGGGTGCCCCGGTACTCACCCTGCCCGCCACAGGCAGCTCCTTCCCAGGGCTGTGCGGGGAGCCCGCAGGGGCCAGAGCCAAGGTCCCGTTCTGGCAGTGGGGACGAGGGGGGAGCTGGGTCAGTGTGGACCCAGGTGTCCCACGGGAGAGGGGCTGGGCTCTGCTCTGAGGGATGCGAGTGACACCGGGCTATGGCCCAGGGTGTTTCCTGTCAGTCCCACCCGGTGCCAACTCTGACCCCCACGAGGAGTCTGGGCTCCTAAACCCACCGATCCCTAGGTTGTATTTTGTTCCTGGAAAGTCTGGAGGGGGATCCCCCCTGCAGGAGATGGGAAAGGTGGCACAGCCAGTCCCAGCCACAGCATTCTAGCGTCTCCCCTTGGTCCCGCGATTCACTGCAGTCCCCAGGCTCACCCTGGCCTTTGCCAGCCCCAGCAGGGCATCCTGACCCCGAGATGGCCATCGCTGGGGTCAGTGTGCCTGGCCACCACCTCCCTCCCCACCGCCCTGGGATGACACCGAGGGAAGGGATGGGGATGGGGATGGGGACAGGGACGGCGCCTGCATTCACCTGGGGCTGAGCCAGGTCTCCTGAGCGGGTCCCCATCCTCCGACGTGTCCCCGGCGGCGCTGTCCCTGCTCGGGGGGTTTTATGGCCGTGGGAAGGACTTTAGTCCCCGGCCGGGCGGTGGCGGTGGCGGGGGGAGGACGGCCATTGGCTGGGGGTTGTGAAACCGGCGAGCGCAGCCCCGGCACGGATCAGCCATTAACTCCTTTAATTGTGGCTGCACCCGCCCGGAGCAGCGCCGCGGTGAAATATTACAGCCCGTGGGTTACAGAGTAATTCCCCGCTCGCCCGGACGGAGTCCACGCTGCTGCTGGCACGGCCGGGCCGGGCCTCGAGCGACAGCGGCGACATCGGTGACAGGCGACACCGGGAAGGCGCGCACCGCCCGGCACGTGTCGGCTCCCGCTGGGGACGAAGTCGGCTCCGAAGGTCACCGGGGCATTAAGCATTAACCACGCCGGGCTACAGCTCGTTCTGCAGCGCCTTGCGGGGGTCCGGGCGCTCCTTGCGGCCGGCACAGGGTCCCTTGTCCCCGTGGCACAGCAGCTGCCGCAGCGCCGCCGGGCCCCGCCGGTGCGCGCCGTAGATGTGCGCCTCGCCCCGCTCGCCCACGTAGCCGTGGCACAGCTTGGAGAGCCTGCGAGGAGCCGCGGTGTCACCTGGCGGTGTCACCCAGCCCCCCTGCACCGCCAAACCCCGACTCACCTGCTCGGCCACGGTCCCCCCGACACCAGCACGCTCAGAGGCTGCTGCCTCGGCAGCCCCGGCCCCGACAGCCGCTTCTCCCCGTCCAGCTCCAGCACCCCGTAACTGCGGGGAGAGGGGAGTTAGAGGGAAAACGGTCGCTGGGGACACCCCTGTCCCTCGGGACACCCCCGGGTCACTCTGATCCCTGGGGTAGTGCCGTCCTCGGGGACATTCTGACCCCTGGGGACTCCCCTGTAGCTGGGATCACCCTGATCCTAGGGACACCCCCATCCCAGGGACACCCTGCTCACCTCTCCCAGTCCTGCGAGCAGCTCCTCTCCAGCACCTCTATGTAGTCCGACTCCTTCAGAGCCTTCTTGCCCACCTTCCCTTCTGCCTTGCTCAGCTGCTCCTCAATCTGGGGTGAGAAAAGGCAGAATCAGGGCACTGAGGGTGGCAGCCTGTCCATGACCTGCTCCAGAGCGGGACTGGGCTCTGCAGCCCCTTCTGTGCAGCCCCGGCAGCAGAAGAACATCTGGGTCAGAGGGTCCATGAGGAGCCCCAAAAGTCTTTTTTGAGGCGCCGAAGGGGAATATCCATCAGGGGCGTGCCCCAGAGGAACAGCAGCATCTCGCCAGGCTGAAGCCTCCCCACAGGAGTTCTCACTGCCATTTTTGGGATGCCGTGTCCCCAGTCCCCACCTGGAAGGCGATGGCGTGGCAGGCGTCACAGCGCAGGGATTCGGGCATGTGGGGCGAGAGCCGCTCCTCGGGGCTGAGCTGGGGCGCGGGGACGGAGTGGGACGGGGCGGCAGGGGGGTCCCCGCACGTGTCCTCAGCCCCTGTCCCCCCCAGCAGGCTCAGCACCAGCCACGCTGCCAGCGCCGCCCGCATCCTACCGCGCTCCGAAAGCGCTGGACGGAGGCGTGGGGTGGCTATAAACCCCCCCGGCCGGGCTATAAACCCCGGGGCGGGCTAAAAATCCCCCGGGACTGGCGAGCGGCGCCGAGGCGCGGCCAGCACGCACCTGCATCCGGCTGGGGCGGCCCGTCCGACCCGGGCGTCGCGGCAGGAAGGGGGCTGTGCATGGGGTGTCCCCGACCGGGTACCCCCTCTCCAGGAGGTTTTTGCTGTAACTCACTCCTGTAACTCAGCCTGATCCCTTCTCCTCAACCTCAGTCCTTCCTGGGATGGTGTGGACTTAGAGGGTCTGGAGCTGGGTAGGGATTTGGGGTTCAGAGCTGAGTTAAGGACTGGGGTTTGAGGCTTATGGTTGTGGCTTGGCGCTCGGGGCTGGGGGTTGGGGTTTAGGGCTCACTGCAGAGTCTCCCACTGCTCCTCGGGACTGGGTGGATACTCCAAGACAGAGAGAAGCACTGCATGTTCCAAGTGCCTCAGCCTCTTGCCTCCCTTTACAGACCACACAAGCACAGGATGAATAAGCAGATTTAAAGCTGTTTCAGCATTTTTATTACTATTTTGGGTTATCTGTGCTGTAGCCGTGGCTGGGGCAGGGGGGGGGGTGCTGGAGGTGGCCAGGCGATCACCCCCTGGGTGAACCAGCTCGGGTCATCCTTGGGATGGGACTGGCAGGACAGGGAGAAGCAGGGCCTCTGTGGTCCCTTTGCTGGCCAGAGCACACACCTCCATGTCCCCCTAGGGCTGCCAGGTGCTCACACCGGAAAACACCCTTTGTGTCCCCGTTTCCATGAGAAGCCAGTGAAGTCCAACCAGTGCCCGCTACCCCTCGGCGTTTTGCCAGCTCAGTCGTGGGCAGGGAGGCTCTCCCGTGCCAGGGGTGGTGCTGACTTTGGGCTAAGCCGGGCCAAGGGAAGGGACATCCCCGCGGATCCTTCCCGTCACATGCGGAGCAGCGAGCCCTCGGGCGCGGCAGGGCTGGCTCGGGCCGGGGGCTGCTCGGGGCCGGGGCTGGCCCTCATACCCGTGGGGATGTAGTACAGGCTCTCCAGGTAGCCGCAGTCGGGACCCCCGGCAGAGGACGAACCCTCGCCCTTGGGAGCGGAGCCGGGGGTCCCGGGGTTGTCGGCAGCCGGCAGCGAGGGGTGCGGCGGCGAGGGGGCGGAGGGCGGCGGTGCCGGGAGCCCGGGGAAGCCGCCGTAGGATGCGTAGGGCGGGCCATAGACCCCCGGGGCCATGACCAGCGGGTTGAAAGGTGCCTGGTAGAGCCCGGTGTGTGATGCCACCGGTGGGACCAGCACCTCCAGGTACTGCCCCGTCTCGGGGTCGTAGAGCGTTTTCATCTGGGGCTGCCGCGGCGGCTCCACGTAGTAGAACTTCCCGCTGCTGGGATCCACGAGCATCCTCCGCTGGGCAGGCACGGCGGTGGGGAAAGGCTTGGAGGGGCTTTGCCTGCTCCTCCCACTCGGCGAGGAGCCATCGGTCCTTCTGAGGAAATGAGGAGCATCCTCCAGGTGGGGCTGGGCTGGGGGCTCCACAGCAGCCGAGCCCTCGGGGGGTCGGGGAAGGGGGGGCTCAGGGCTGGGCTTGCCCCAGGGCACTTCCCCACCAGGAAGGGGATAGGCACCGGTTCCCAGCGGAGCGCTGGCTGGGTTGGGGACAAAAGGGGATCCAAAGAAAGAGCCGGCTACACTGGAGACTGATGGATGCCCAAGGGAAGTGGGGGCTGGGTTGCTGACCAAGGGGGACCCAAAGGATGACCTGCCTGGGTTGGGGATCAAGGGGTTCCCAAAGGATGCACTGGATGGATTGGGCACCAGTGGGGACCCAAATGATGCACTGGATGGATTGGGGATCAAGGGGCTCCCAAAGGATGCACTGGATGGATTGGGGACCAAGGGATTCCCAATGGATGCACTGGATGCATTTGGGACCAAGGGGTTCCCAAAGGACATGCTGGATGGACTGGGGACCAAGGTGTTCCCAAAGGACATGCTGGATGCATTGGGGACCAAGGGGTTCCCAAAGGATGCACTGGATGGATTGGGGACCAAGGGGTTCCCAAATGATGCACTGGACGCATTTGGGACCAAGGGGTTCCCAAAGGACATGCTGGATGGATTGGGGACCAAGGGATTCCCAATGGATGCACTGGATGCATTTGGGACCAAGGGGTTCCCAAAGGATGTGCTGCACAGGTTGGGCACCAGAGGGGCCCCAAAAGACTTGTTGGAGCTGGAAACCAAGGGGGTCCCAAATGATGTGCTGGCCAGGCTGGAGGCTGATGGGAAGCCAAAGGATGAGCCGGTCACGTTGGTGACCATGGAGGTCCCAAAAGAGGCACTGGCTGGGTTGGGGGCTGAGGGAGCCCCAAAAGAAGCGCTGGCCGGGCTGGGGACAAAGGGGGTCCCAAAGGATGCACTGCCTGGGTTGGGGACCGAGGACAGCTTTGGCATCTGTGTGGATTTGGGGGCTCTCTCGGGGATTGCCAAGTAGTTGGAGTTCTCTGCCGGGGCAGCCGGCGGGTAGGGCTCCGCAGCCGCCGGCCACTGCGGCGAGTGCTCCCAGGCCTCCCTCTGCTCCGGCAGCCGCCCAGGGGAGGCTTCGCTGCTGTCCCCGGCTCGGAGCGGGGCAGCGGGTCCGGTGCCACCGGCAGAGCCCCCGCTGCCCACCGACACCCGCCGGCCGCCGGGCTGCTGCTGCCTCTGCTCGCTGCCACCGGGCTCTGCCGCGCTCCTCGCCGCCGGCTCCGCAGGCCGCGGCCGGGCGCTGCTGCCGCCCGGGGCTCCGGCTCGGGGGTCCCGGCTGTCGCCGCTGCGGGGCCGCTGCCCCAGCGACTCCGGCCCCTCGGCAGCGGGGAGCGCCCGGCTGCTGCCACGGCCGCGCACCTCCTCTCCCTCCGCGGGACTCGGCGGCGGCGGCGGCAGGAGAACGGTCTTCTCTGCCCGCAGCACAGCGCTGCTCTGAGCCGGGGAGCTCTCCCGGGCCGCCGGGGCCGGCCGGCCCACCAGGACGTGCAGATGGGTCTCCACGTGTGGCACCCGCTCGGCCGCCGGGGCCCGTGGGGGCAGCCTGAGCTCGCTCCGCTCCCGGCGCGGGGGCGACGCCGGCGGCTCCTCCGAGGGGGCCGCTCCCCTCCGCGTGGCCTGGACCCTCGTGATGTTGATTGGGGAGCTGTGCGGGGTCTTTGCGGGCCCCTCGGCACACGCCGGGGCTGGCTCTCGGCCAGGGGCTGCCAGCACCTCCTCGCCCGCCGGCTCCGGCGGCGGCTCCCGGCGGACCGAGGTGCAGTGGATGACCAGGGGGGTGGCTGGTGGCGGCTCCCCGCTACTCGCCGGTGCCACGGTGCCGCGGGAGGCACCGGCAGTCCCGAACTTGAGGCTGTAGCTGCTCTTCACCAGCTTGCGCACGTCCCGGGGCTGCGGGACGCGCCCCTTCCCCTTCTCCTCTGGCTTGGGGGGCGCGGCCGGCGGGGACCCCCGGGGTGCCGGGATGGTGCCGGGGCTGGGCGGCCGGCGGGGCACTGCTGGTGGCTTCTCCGGCTGGCTCTGCGGCAGCGTCCTCGCCTCCTGCGCCCGGGAGGAGGCGAAGGGGCGGCGCGGCGGGGTGGCGGGGAGCGCCCGGCTCTCAGCCTTGAAGGGGAGGCTTTGGGAATGGATGGGGCCGATGGCTCGCTCCTTCAAGCTGGGCCATGGCCTCGGCGCCCTCGCAAACCGGGGAGCAACATCCAGCACCTTCCCCACGCCGGGCTGGGCCTCGAATAAGGCGCGGGCTCGCTGGTAGCAGATCCTCTCCGACGTGTGCTTCTCCGCGGCCGCGGGCAGCCAGCGGCCCTCCAGCACCTCCTGGTACTTCATCCTCTGGTTGAGCTCGTTGAACGTCTTCCTCAGGTTGCAGACAGTCTCCCTCGTCGCCTCGCTGAGCACCACGCCCTTGGTGGGATGGGTGGTGGTGGCGGAGCTCTCCGCGACCGCCGTGGCCACCGGCATCCCGCCGCCCCGCAGGTCCTCGGCCGAGAAGCTGCAGTCTGAGCGGGACAGAGAGCTGGACTTGCCCTCCAGACCATCCCCCAGCAGGTCGGTGCCGGCGGAGGACGGTCCCGAGGAGGTCGAGCTGCCCCGCAGCCCCTTCTGCTCCATCTTGATGCGCTGCTCGTACTGCATCTTCTTGGCCAGGACGTTTTTCACCAGGCACGAGGCCGCCCTGGTCCTGTCGGGGCCGGCCTCCAGGGACGCCGCCTTCATGAACTGCTGGTAGTTGAGCCTGAAGTCCTCGCCGACGGCTCTGCCCTTGCTGGGGGGCTCCTTCCTGGCAGGGGGCTGGGGCGCTGGGCCATCCCCCCGGGTGCCAAAGCCCGTCTCCTTCCTCTCCTTCCTCTTCAGCAGGATCTGGCGCTTGGGCACCGTCCTCTTCTTGCCGTGGCCCTTCCTGGCCTCACCGCTCTCCAGCTCCACGTCCACGCACTCAAACTGCTCCTTGGCCAGCAGCTCCCCGTCCACGCCGGCGAGGAAAGGCCAGCCCACCCTACCGTGCAGAGCTGTCGCCGCGCCCCGGGGCTCCCCCGCGCCCGCCGGCCACCGCCGCGGCCGCCCGCCGTCCTCCGACAGCGAGTTGGAGAGGCTGGAGGAGGTGTGGGAGCTGCACATGTCGAGGCGAGCTCCGGGGAGACCCGAGAGGCTGCGGAAAGCCCTGGCCGTCAGCGCCTGCACCTCGCCGTCCACCTCGTCCGAGTCGCTGGGAGCCCCGGCGAGCATCGCCCCGGGCTGCCGGGGCACGGCCGGCTCCCCGCCGGCGGCCGCGGCCGGCACAGGCTGCCGGTCCCCACCGAGGGGACCCATCCTGCCCCCCTGGCCCGGCGCTGGGCTATTCTTAGCCGCGCTGGACAGCTGAGCCCGCTGCGGGCGGGCGAGGGGGCCGGGCGGCGGGGGCACGCCGGGGGCCCCCGCCGGAGCCCAGCGGCCCGGGGCAGCCCGGCCGGGCGATCCCTCCTCGTCCAGGAACTCCAGGCAGTCCTTGAAGGTCTCCGTGCCGTCCGAGCACAGGGCGGAGTGGTAGGAGGACACGGAGGAGCTCGACATGCTCTTGGTGAGGTCGTCGCGGGGCAGCCCCGGGAGGTGTCCGTCCTCCTCCTCTTCCTCCTCCGCGGAGCGCCGGCCGTCCGCAGCCGCGCGGGGACCCTCGGCCTCGGGGCCGGGCAGCTCGGCGGGGGACAGCAGGACCGGGTCCCTCTTCCCGCGGGGCATGGTGGCAGGGAGGAGCCCGGGGGCTTCAGCCGATGCCGGGGAACCCTGTTCGGGGCTGGGGCGGCTCTGTCGGGGCCGCTGGCTCGACCTTCTGGCTCCCTCGCCGTCCCGGCGGCTGGACCCGGCGGCGGCACAGAGCAAGCCCCGGATCACATGGACTCGGCGAGCGCCAGCCGGGGCAGCCGATGCCAAGCGCATTGCAGGGATGCCACCGCCGCCCCCAGCCTCGGGGACCTGCCGGGGGCCGCCGGCCCATCCCTGCTCCTCATCCCGCACCGCTCTCCCCAAACCGCAGGACATGTCCCAGGGGACCCCATACAGCTCCCGGTTGTGATCCCATGGCCTGGGCTGCCCTGGAGCGGGGGGGCCCTGCAGACCTCTCTGGGGATGTCCCATCCGCGGTGTTGAGGGCACGGCAGGACCCCGAGCTGCAGCTCCATCCCCACCACAGCTCCTTTCCCGGTGCCACTGCCCACCTTGCCACAGCAATGGTGCGTCCACGCTGGGCTTTCCCCTAAACACACCCTACCCCAAACAGGAGCTCCCACACAGCCAGTCCAAGCGGCCAGGAGCAGACTCAAGGCTTGGGATCAACCCAGGCATGGAGCTGACCAAAGGACTGCAAGCATGTGTCTTTTCTGGGGACACCCCAAGCCAGTGGTGGGGTGGCTGGGGTGACACGAGGGTCTCTGCAGCTTGTCCACCCCAAGTGCTGCTGGTGCAGTCCAGTCCCAGCTTTTGGGGGAATTTTTGCCATGAAATAGCAGCAGGTGCTCCCCAGCGCTGCCAGTCCCAAAGCAACCTGATGCCCACGTCCTCTGGGTTCATGCAGGGACTAAATTTAAACCTTGGCAAGGAGGAGAGGAAAGCTTCCCGCAGAGCTGGGCTGGCACTTAACCCTTCCCTGCTGAGCTGGGCTGGGCTTGCAGGTGGCATTTGTGCCCAGAGGGACTGCAGGGGACCTGCCGTGGGTGGTGCTCACTGGTGTGGTGGCCTTGTGCAAGAAGGAGTGTGTATGTGGGATTTTCAAACCCCCAAATCCCTTTCTTCATGCTCAGGCACAGGCACAGACTGCCAGGGCAGTGCTGGAGTTGCCATCCCTGGTCCTGCTCCTCCACGGAGCTCCAGGGTGTGTCTGGGGCCATCCCACCTCCCGCAGCACCCACAGTGGGTGCCGGGAAGCGGATGGACAGCGGATGGACAGGGGTGCACACCACAGCCGGGTGTCCGGTGCTGCTCTCCTGCCACCCTCGCAGCCTCCGGTGGTGTTGAGTCACTTGTCACAGCTGTTGTCACTGTGACCATTTTGGTTTTAGCGGGACCTGGGTGTCAGAGCAGCAGCAGCAGCAAGGACTGTGCTGAGCACGAGTGTTGGAGCGAGGCAGGGAAAGGCTGGGAGAGCTGGGGCTGCTCACCTGGAGAGGAGAAGGCTTGCAGGGCCTAAAGGGGCTCCAGGAGAGCTGGAGAGGGACTGCGGACGAGGGATGGAGGGACAGGACACAGGGAATGTCTTCATAGTGATACAGGGCAGAGTTAGATGGGATATTGGGAAGGAATTGTTCCCTGTGAGGATGGGCAGGCCCTGGCACAGGGTGCCCAGAGCAGCTGTGGCTGCCCCTGCATCCCTGGCAGTGTCCAAGGCCAGGCTGGACAGGGCTTGGAGCAGCCTGGGACAGTGGGAGGTGTCCTTGCCATGGCAGGGGGTGGAAGGGAGTGGCCTTTGGGGTTCTTTCCAACCCACACCAGTCTGTGATTCTGTGACCCCAGGATGCTGTGAACAGCCCCTCTGGGGGTGCTGTGGGAGCAGCAGAACTGTCCAGGCATTGCTGTCACTGCCCTGGCTGCAGCCCCAGGCTGCCACCAATGTGCCAAGCCAGGCCACGCTGCAGACCTGCAGCTCCTCCTGCTGCTCCCGAGTTTGTCCCTCGGTGTGGAGGCCATGGAGAGACCCCTGTGCTCCTCCTGCCAGATGAAACCCAACCAGCACCTCCCAGCAGCCAGAGCAGGTTGGGCTGTGCCTGTGGGGCACAAACATGTTACAGAACAGCGGGTGGACCCCGGCTGAGCCAGATTTGCTAATTAAACACTCATTTATGTTTAAGCCAGCATGATACTGCCTGTAGCCTCACCACTGCATTTGCTTATTAACCTGGATTTCGTGCCAGCTTGGAGCGTGCTCACCTCAGTGCTGGCAAGCCTGGCACGGGCAGTGAGGAGGCGGAAGGCTGCTGGTAGCTGCTGAAAGCAGGATGTGCCTCTCCCACGCTGGAGCTACTTTTTGCAGCTCCGGAGGAGCGGCCCAGCTTGGCAGGGGCTTTCAGAGCCGCCTCGGGTTCAGGAGAGACCTGGGCATCCGGGCCAGGGCGCTGTGTGACAGGCGCCCAGCCGCCCCCCGAGCCAGGGTGTCCCTGCGGCACAGGGGCGATGCCCGGGCGGCTGCCAGGGCCGTGCGCCCCGAGCCGCAGGGCGGGCCCGGGCTGGGACACGGCGGGGCAGGGCCGTCCTGCGGCCACACGGCGCCGTGCCAGGGGCCAGCCCCGCTCCCAGCCCCTGTCCCGTTCCCGGCACCGTTTGTAACCTCCTGCCTCGTTCCCTGTTCTGTTCCCTATCCCGTGTCCCGTCCCCAGTCCCGTGTCCGTTCCCGCCGAGCCCCACGGCAGGTGCAGGCCGCGCGGCGGGGCCCGCACAGACCCCGGCCCCGCGCACACGGAGAGGGCCCGCTTCCCGATCCCCATCCCCATCCCGGTCCCGGTCCCAAGCCCTCGGCCATGTCCCCGCGGCAAATGGCGGCCGCCTCCTCCCCGGCCGCGTCCCCGCCATCCCCCGCAACTCTCCCGGCGCCAGGCTCGGACAACCACGGACAGGCACAGCGATGTCACGTCTTTATTTAAAAATAAATAAATATATATACACACACAAACCCACGTTCAAGCGCTTGGTGCACTCAGGAACACCCTCTCCTCCTGTCAGAGCCCCACAAAGAACCCCAAGTACCCTTTGGAGAAGGACAGCGATGCATTTCCACATCGGGGCCCCGGAGAGGATTCTCCTTTTCCCCGAGGAGCACTGAACAAACACAACTTGTCCTGTTTGTCACCGCAGAGGTCCCAAGCCACACGTCCTTCCTCACAGCACACACCAGGACCAGCACCCTGACCCTGGTTAGGAACAAAAACACTTATTGCTTTTGGGGATGTTTTACCTCCCTCCTGCGTTTCCCAGCTGGTTGTGCTTCCCACAGGAGGTCTCCATCAAGTACTCGAGGTTTTTGGATGAAAGGTACAATCTGGTTTCAGTGCAAAGTGCTGTGGAGGAGTTCAAGCTCCGTGCAGGACATTATGAGTCCAGGAAGTTGCCAGATTTGGTCTCCCTACCTGCATCCCTCTACAGTCACACGGGAACAGCAGGGAACATACCAACCCTGGAACAAAGTCCAACCATTTAAATAGATTCCTAATATATTCTACAAGCTATTTAATATATAAAAAGCAACATTATTTTCACTTTTTGTACACTCACGTGCTCAAAAGTGAGAAATACCAGCATTAAGGCTGCCTGCTGTGCCAGCCACCAACCTGGAACCATCACCCATTTCTGCCCTTAAGCCCTGGCACTAAGAATGCTCAACACCAACCCCCTCAAAATGCCATTTTCACTGGTGCTTTTCCTGTTCCAGGTGCCCCAAAATTTCAACTCAACTTCCCCACATTCCTACAAGGTTTCTTACAAATGGGGCACAAAAATGCAATTTAGAGTCACTGTGTCCGTTTTTTTCTCCTTTTATGACACCCAATCACAGCACTGCTGCTGGCCCTGGACCGTTCTCCTCCTCTCCTGGGATGTTTAGGGCTGGTGTACAGAAGCACCAGGCCTCAAACCAATCCCTCATCCTTGTGCAGACCCCAGGAAAGGTTTTTTTCCCAGCTTCCTTTCTTGCCAAACCTCCAAGGGCTGTATGGATGGGACAGGACATGGAGGGGACACACTGTGGCACCAGCATCTCCAGTTCCATCCAGTGAGATTCCTACCCCACTGCACCAGTGCCCAGCCCACAGTCTGAGCTTTAAAGGCAGGCTTAATCCTGGCATTTCCCAAACTTTTGAGTATTTACTCCTTAGGTCTCAGCCAAGGCCACCTGTGCATCCTGTGTGACTCGAGTTTCAGGCATGTGGCAACAGCAGAGCATTGCTCAGGTGTCACTGACTCCCGTTCACAGGGTCAGAGGGGAGCAGTGCTGCTCTGTGAGCCCCCACCCCGGGCAGGAATTCCCTGGAAGAGCAACTCATTCCATGCAGGGCATACACCAGACTGCCTCGGGGGGTTCATGGTGCTCAACTGGAGCAACACGGCTCTAACACTGCTCTGCTGCTCACCAGGACAACCCAGCATCAACCTGCCTTCAAGGCCTGGCTGTGCAAAGGAGGACCAAGAAAAAACAGGACATTGCCACATGGATTTTTCTTTGCAATATCATGTCTACAGTGAAACATTCATAGCTGCTCAACGGAGTAAAAATATGCTACATGAGAACTGTACCAGAAAATGCAGGATCCTGGGAGAGCTGGGGGAGTGTGAAGATAAAAACCAGAATGGAACAGCCAGCTTTGAAATATGCCACTGGAAACAGAGGAGGGAATGACCACAGTGCTGCTTTCCCAGCAGTCTGGCAGACACTGGAATGGGTGCAATTCCCAGACTCCCATGCTGGTGTCAGGAAGGGCACAGCCCTCCCTTGGAGCACCCGAGAATGGGAGAGCTGGGAATGTGCTCAGGGGCTGCCCTCAGGCAGGGACTGTCCCTCCCGCACTGGAACCACCCCAGCTCTGTGGCACAGCCCGGAGGGACAGGGGGAGGTGACACCCAGCCCCAGCACGGCACTCTCCGGGGATCCAGGGGCTGCAGATCCATAGGAAACAAGGGAAGCAGAGAGAAGCCTGCTCTCTTGGGAAGCACACACAGCCTGGATGGCAGACAAACCACCCACACAGCTGGGGTCTGAGCTCAGAGCGTGTCCTGGGGAATGAATTTACAAAGTGCCACTGGTCCTTGGACCCAAATCTAATGTACAGGATATATTACAGCAAACAGCAGCCCTGCAGCTTGTGCCAGCCCCTCTCTGCACTGCCTGCAGGAGGACTCCAATATCTACACTCTTTACAACAGACTCCTTCCTTTTCACATGGAGGAAAATAAAAACGTAAGTTAGACCAGCAATAAATAAAAGTATGGAACGTGTGCGTCCTGGTCAGCCCCCTTTATGCATCCCAATCAGACTGGAGAGCTTCTCACAGTGCTCAAGTTTCAGGGACTCTGCTTTCTGTTTTAACCGCTCATCTCTGTAGAGCTTGGCCAAATTGGACAAATCAGACTCTGAAAGATGAAAAAAAAAGGTGTATTAGGATGAAGTCCTGAGCCTCCTTTAAAGAACTGTTTTTAAGTGCTTTGTTATCCTTGTGACACTTCTAAATTTTAATTTTGGTGGGTATTGAAGCCAGGGAGGTGAACAGCTACCCAAGGGACTCTTCTGAAAGGCCTCCCTGCCCTTTCATTAACAATCTCAAATGTACTTTGCATTTTGTTCCCCTTCTTCTCAAAAGCTACATAAAACTGAAATAATTCCATTGTTTAAATTATTTCCTCCCAGTAATTCAGAGAAGTTGCTTTTGCTGATTAGCTGAGGAAGTCTTAATATAGGTTTCTCC